TTGCAGGAGAGACTGTTGGACTTTTTCTGCGAGCTACTGGTGCATTACACAGAGGGGACAAACCCATGGGTCCGCTTTCACACTCAAAACTAGATAGCATGGAGGCAGCACCCCTTTTGGTATTGACATTTCGTTGGAAATTATTTACTATGGACGCGTTTTTTAGAGATTCTACCTCCACCCGCAGGTTCCTCATCTGTTCCAATGTAGCATATTCTTCGCAAATACGGTCTAAGTCACTTCTCATTTTTACAATATCCTTCAGTATCCTAGTTACATCTACGTGGTCAAAAAGTACTGGAGGTAACTTTTGCAGGTCCCGTGCCACAAAAATAGGAATATCCTCAGGGTCAGTCTCTTTCAATAGGCATACTATATCGTCAATATTACGTATTGTTTTGCCTTGTTTTTTCCGTATCTTCTTTTGCTTTGTTGTCGTAACGGAATCGAACAACAAGTTTTTGGCTTTCAGAATATCATTTTCCGAGAAAGCACTAACACAGATTCGGCTTATACTTTCTTCATCCATCACATCTATCTTATTACAGATAAAAGCAAGTATTTCGTTGATCACCACATTACAACTAGCACATTTCACAACATCCGAGGACATTGTTTTACTCGATTGACTTTCCATCGCGGCAATGACGTGCGTACGCGCCGAACGCAATGACAGAACTGATGGTTTTTTCCATTGATGGTTTTTGATTTGGTGAGTGTTCGGATTAATGTTTGTTAAAGTACCTAGGTACTTACCAGAATATGTTTATTAATGGTAAGTGGTTTTTAGTGGCAGGATATCAGTTTGTTTAATTATTTTCGGTTTATATTGAAATGCATAATTGACACATTTCGAATTATTTGTTTAAGCTATCTAGATACTTAACCTAGTCGCGGAGAACCTAACGGGTAACCAGGGCTCCGGCTCGACGTGCAGGAGAAGAAACGGGGTGGTTTTTAGTCAGTAAGAGTCTGACACTCACTCCCGCCTCAACCAGATGGGAGAAGTCATTCGATGATTTTCCCCCGTTAAAAAAAGATACCTAACCTAACCTACAGTTCTGACATCGCCATTAATTAGTGTACTTAGTTGCAATATCCAGAAGACACGATCAATTACTTTAAAACATCAAGTTATCAATTAAATATATTTTGTTAAAATATTTCTAGACATTTTTATAATTTCAACGATTTTCAACGGCTTTCAGAACTCGCCAACAGAACCCTAAAAGTAAAATTAATTAATAACAAATAAATTCTACAAAACATCGATAAATTATCTGACAATTGAAATCGCGCCTTTTTTAATGTCAAATTAGGTCGGCCATTATGCGAAACGTCACAAAACCTAACGCCATTGTTCTATTCGGATGCGTTCGCGCGTACACTTAATTTTTTAAAATGGGGCCCGATTTTTTATTAACAATCGTTTTTATACATTTTTATACGTGTGTGGCCGTTTGCGAATAAATGTAAGTCCTTTTATATCTTCTAAAGAATGCATTGTTGTATTAAAATGTTACAAATTTAAGTTTTTGCACGTGTTTGCGTGAGAATTTTAAGGGTTACCTACGTTAAAAAACGTTTCGATTTGATACCCCTTTGCCACCTATGTTAAGTAGAATATGTCACAACAATTTGTTTGGAAAAGGGGTGCGTTTGTGTAGGTGCAATTTGGCAAGTGATGTGCGATATCAAACTTGTTATGCTTTGAGGTATAGCAGAGTTATAAGTAGGAGTCTAGTTGGTGGTTGATCTGTATCGGATTGTGTTCTAATTCTATGTTATATTAACTTAATGCTCTTTGTTTCACAGACTTTATATATTTGTATTGTAACTTTCGGCTTACACACGTAGTAATTTGACGAGGAACTCGACTAGTTTCGAGCCATGCTAGAGGCTCATATTCATGAGCAGCATTTCGCGACCCGCGACGCGGCGACTGTCGCGCTGCTACGGCGAGTGTAGTATTGTATAATGAAATATTATTTAAAATTTTTGATAAATACTTGGACACAAAATGTTCGCACTTCATTTGAAGTTTATTATTTAAATTATAACTTATTTTTTAAAGCGCCTCATTGTGACTGCCTCGTTGGCCGTGTAGCCGCAAGTGCGACTACCAGGCAAAGGGTCTCGGTTTCGATTCCCTGGTCGGGTAAAGTATCAATAGGTTTTAAAAAAAACTCAGTAGTAGCTCGGAGTTTGGAATTGTGCCCGGTATAAGGCAATAGGCTCACCTCCTATTACATGGGGCTTATAAATAAATAGTAAAAAGTGGGTGTTACATTATACAGTGGCATTAAATGCCGTAATGTGAACCTCTGCCTACGAGGATAAAAAGGCTTGATGTTGTGTTATGTTATGTTTTTTAAGTTAAGTTATCATATTTAACGCTCAAAACATCGATCTATGCAGGAACATGATGGTGTTAAGCCAGTAAGAGTCTGACACTACGTCTCACCTCACACGGCCTTGGATGATTAATGACAAAGAAGATGATGAAGTAATTGTGTAATATTTGACTGCATGGTTAGTGCGGCGGCTGGGCCACCGGCTGCCGTGCAACGTGTCGCGGGTTCGATTCCCGCACGGAACAACACTTTGTGTGATCCACAAATTGTTGTTTCGGGTCTGGGTGTCATGTGTTTGTGAACTTGTATGTTTGTAAACGCACCCACGCACGACACAGGAGATAACCCTATTGTGGGGCAAAGTTTAAAAAAAATACTCCTCACAAACTGTATGTATTTCTTATGTGTTTCTGTTGGGTTCTAAATACGCTTGCTTCTTGCATCGACCATTGTTTTTGTCTCTGCATCACCCAAAGGTCTGGCTGTAGGGGAATGCCCATGGCATTAAGCCCACCTTGTACATTAGTGCGTGCATGAAGCCTTTGAAAATAAAAATAAAATAAAATAAACTGCTCAAAACATCCTTACTTCCTTACTAATATTATAAATCTGAAAGTGAGTTTGTTTGTTTGTTCCACCTTCACGCCGTAACTACTCAACCGATTGCTTTGAATTTTTGCAGACGTAAAGTTAGAAGTCCGGATTAAATAATAGGGTACTTTTTAACCCGGAAAAAATTCATATTCCCGAGGAAAAACAAAAGTATTGGTATAGATGGAGCTGTGTGTATTGGTATATGTCACATAGGCTACATTTTATTCTTTTGTGACGCGAGCGAAGCCGCGGGTAAAAGCTAGTCTATATATATAAAAGAAAGTCATGTTAGTTACACTATTTATAACTCAAGAACGACTAAATCGATTTGGATGAAAATTGGCGGGGTGGTAGCTTAGAACCAGGAGACGGACATAGGATACTTTTTATCTAATTTTTTTTTTACTTTTACCAAAAATCACGAACGGGAACGGGGGGGCGGGGATTGGGATTGCACGTACGAAGTCGCGGGCAGAAGCTAGTTTTAATATAAACAGCAAAACTTCTATTCTAATTTCCTCTTCAAGCAACCACATCATGATTGTTTATCTACAAGCAAAAACAATATATAAAAACGTCTGTACCACTACTTCTGCTTACCCCCTGGCTGTTACATTAAGCTCTCTGTTATCTAAATAGTATTGAATGTACAAATTGCTTTGAAATGCTATACGATGTGAATTTAAGTGGGGGACAGGAGAGGACTTGGGGGTATTGAAAAACATATGTTGTGTTGGTTTGTGTACTAGTTTTTAGATTTCATTTTTATTTCTACAATTATAATAGCTTTAAAGTATTTGTGTGATTGTAAAAATGATGTTTTATTGGTAATTAAGGCCTGTTTGCATTATTATCGTTCTCAACAATACGGTAGTTGACAGGTAGTCAAATTCAATACTTTTATTGAAATGTCAAAAACGATATTTTCCTATGAATTTTGTATTGGATCGCAACTTATGACGTCATCATATTTCTGCGTCAAACAGCATACTTATTTCCTTAAATATAGCGAGAAAAAACTCCAAAAGTAGATAAATTGTCAAATCAATGGATGAGAGTGTGATTATTTTTTAATTATTTATTGCATTGAAAAATTGAAACAATTTATTTTAAACCTAGGAAACTAGACAATTGTCTGTCAGCTTTGATAGCGGAACTTACAAACTACTTCTATGCCACGACTATTCATCTCATTCATTTAATATCATTACCCGTATATATAAGCCGCCCCAGCTTCGTACGAGTGCAATATACATGTATTATACATATAAACCTTCCTTAGGAATCACTCGATCTATAAAAAAAACCGCGTCAAAATCGTTGTGTAGTTTTAAAGATCTAAGCATACAAAGGGACAGACAGACGGTGGATAGCGACTTTGTTTTATACTATGTAGAAGATCACTAACGCACGATTATACGAGTTAAAAAGTAAACAATCACTTCAATTACAATACCTACGTTCATTCTCGACAATTTCTTTTGTTAAGTTTCCCTGTTATGTTGTTATGTGGTAATGCCCCAAAAACACCATTAACACTGTAATTTTCTAATGTCCTCATTTGATTTTAATCAAAAAACAAAGTCAAGACAAGAATCACTTGCAACTATCCAAACATCGTGCCTCGCTAGGCAGAAGATCACTATTCCAAAAAAAATCACGACATAAATTACGTCATCACCCGTTCAATCTAGCGTCACTATCGACTCGGCAGCAATTCATCACTGAGTACGGCCCTGTGCTCGTCAGAGTCATGTTAACAACGGGGAACACACACTAGTGTTGTGTTGTGTGTTGTATTGTGACGTCACAGTTCGATGCGAATGTGGATACGGCAGTTAATTGGATGATAAAATATATGGTTTTATTTATGGAAATATATGGGCTGGCTCGACCAGAGTGATACCACGGCCTCACAGAAAACCGACGTGAAGCAACGCTTGCGTTGTGTTTCGCCGTGTAAGTGAGGTTACCGGAGGCCCAAGTACCCTCCCCTTCCCCAATCTCCCCAATTCCTGAATCCATAACGATCCCCAAACTCCTAATCCCCAAAAGGCCGGTAACGCACTTGTAACGCCTCTGGTGTTCCAGGTGTCCATGGGCGACGCCGATTGCTTACCATCAGGTGATCCGTCTGATCGTTTACCGGCTTATGCCATAAAAATAAAAGTACCTAAAGTTTAGTAGTTGAGACTAAGCAAAAGTATTTACTTATATCAAAGTACATATACCTACTCATTTTAAGTACACGTTTGCCTTTCAAAGATACAGTTACATTGCTTAATTTATAGTTCGCAAATTATAATGTTCACATTTCGTATTTCGTACATGAATGTCGAATTCCACCCATTAATATCATGCGTGCACAATTACATTCAGTTGAACATTTTGTTGTTTTATAGTTTGCAGGTAAAATTATACAATTGCATTTCTATTTCTATTTCTTTATATTTATTTTATATGGCTGTTTCTGTATTTTTTATTATGCACTACCATGATATGTACCCATATTTGCGAAATAAAATATCTTTATCTTTTCTTTCTAATGAGCTGCTGTTTACATGTGAACATTAGCTCATGACGATACCTACGTGCGTGTGTCGCCTGGACAGTCAACATCGCTACATCCTTGTTGACTGGACATCTACACTACATGAGCCGTCGCGGAGAACCTAACGGGTAACCGGGGCTCCGGCTCGACGTGCAGGAGAAGGAACGGGGTGGTTTTTAGTCAGTAAGAGTCTGACACTCCCTTCCGCCTCACCCAGGCGGGAGCAGTCATTCGATGATTTTCCCCCCTAAAAAAAAAAAAACACTACATGAGCTCCTGTTTACATGTGAACATTAGCTCATGACGATACCTAAGTACGTGTGTCGCCTGGACAGTCAACCTCGCTACATCCTTGTTGACTGGACATCTACACTACATGAGCTGCTGTTTACATGTGAACATTAGCTCATGAAGATACCTAAGTACGTGTGTCGCCTGGACAGTCAACCTCGCTACATCCTTGTTGACTGGACATCTACACTACATGAGCTGCTGTTTACATGTGAACATTAGCTCATGACGATACCTAAGTACGTGTGTCGCCTGGACAGTCAACCTCGCTACATCCTTGTTGACTGGACATCTAACACTACATGAGCTGCTGTTTACATGTGAACATTAGCTCATGACGATACCTAAGTACGTGTGTCGCCTGGACAGTCAACCTCGCTACATCCTTGTTGACTGGACATCTACACTACATGAGCTGCTGTTTACATGTGAACATTAGCTCATGACGATACCTAAGTACGTGTGTCGCCTGGACAGTCAACCTCGCTACATCCTTGTTGACTGGACATCTACACTACATGAGCTGCTGTTTACATGTGAACATTAGCTCATGACGATACCTAAGTACGTGTGTCGCCTGGACAGTCAACCTCGCTACATCCTTGTTGACTGGACATCTACACTACATCCTTGATGATACAAGATTGAATTACACTAGATTGATAAAGTAAATCTTGATTGATCAATCATTGCAAATTGTTGCAATATTTTTGCTGTAATATGATCGTTAGTAAAGTGGTTTGGTAAACAGGTATGGGCTGTATCTGATGTGTTTGTATAATGGGGTGCTATGGTGTATCATGTATCTTGGTGCAGTATTTTACGTAAAGATTGTGAACATTTCATGACGTCACGGCTTTTAATATCTCGAAGGGGTAGACAGCAGAGTTGCAATACGAGCAGTCCGCCCATCACATACTCTAGGAGTGTGATCCCTGGCAATATGAACGTAACACTATGTTAAATAATTTAATTGTTTCGTCAGGTGTAGCTAATTATACGGACCTTGTTGAATCTAGAACAAATTTCCATGCGTTTAGGCGCTTTTGCCATACCTATTAATTATTGGAAGCAAGTATAACAGCTTACACATAAGACCCACTAAGTTTTTAGTCAAATTTTCATGGTCCTTGGCGACTGGGCTTCACCCAGTTGTACAGTCTTTTTTTGTGCCTTTAGGCTTAATTCATTCTGTCTCCTGCATTAATTCACCGAGGGAAGTGGAAGGTTTTTTTTCTTTTCCTCTTATAATATCTTCTGATTTACTTCATTGGGGGAACCAAGACAGTTATTCACGTCCCTGGGACGCGCCGGACTTCAGTGTTCCGGTGTTTTCATGGTTGTATCTACTGTAGATCCTGGCTTACAGGAGTTGCAGCGGTTTTGGGAGGTTGTGGCGGGCTTGTCCCAAATTCAATAACCTGTTAAGTCCTCCGCGGCTCAGTATCGGCATCAGCCCTATTGGGCCCCATCTGTGGTGGTCTGATGGCTCTTTTGACGCACCGGATCGCGACGCATACCGTCACCACATAGGACATAGGTAGATATTACTCACATTTTACAAATTACGTTATGAGTCCCATGTAACTGAGGGGTCAGCCTATTACCATATACCAGCCTCAAAAATACTTTCAAGAAAATGGCGCATTCCTTTTTAAAAGGCCGGCAACGCAACTGTGACTCCTCTGGTGTTGCGGGTGTCCATGGGCGGCGATGATAGCATGTATCCAAAAAAAATCAGATTCCCTCCTATTTCTAAGAATTTCTGAAAATAAAAAACAAATCATACTTTCCTCAACCAGGGAATTGAACCCAAGACCCCTTATTATGGTATGTTATTTGATGCAAACATTTCAATACTATGACCCCTATATTTAAACTTCAAAGTAAAGATAAATGCTTGGATCTCTGTCGGTGACATGTATACAAACCGCCTGTATGATAAGAAAACTTTGGGTTTCTATACTATGAGTTTTTCTCTGTGGCTGCTGAAGGGTCGCGGGTTCGATTCTTGGGTTGGGTATAATATTATTGTCATTTTGGATTTTTTGACAATTTCTCAGCAGTAGCAAGGAGGTTAGAATTGTGTCCGATTCTGGGTCCGATTCCCGAACCAATTGAAAGTGATAAAAATATGTGCTACGAAAACCGTAGCCGAGCGTCGTAGTCGACTATACCGTAGCAAGCTACGAATTTCGTAGCAAATCATGTGACTTTTTCCGAGTTATATGTACTTTCCAAGATTATTTAGACACCACTGACAAAAAGTGAAAGAAAACATCGTGAGGGAACCTGGGCTTATAATCCTTACTAATATTATAAATCGGAAAGTGAGTTTGTTTGTTTGTTCCGCTTTCACGCCGTAACTACTAAACAGATTGCTTTGAATTTTTTAGTTAGAAGTCCGGGTATAGGGAAATAGGGTACTTTCTATCCCGGAAAAATATGATATTCCCGAGGGAAAACAAAAGTATTAGTATAGATGGCGCTGTGTATATCGTTATTTGTCACATAGGCTACTTTTTACCGACTTCAAAAAAAGGACGAGGTACTATGTTCAGCTGATTGTTTTTTTTTTTGTTTGTTCGCGCAGTACTCCGCCATTTGTGGACCGATTTCCAAAACTCTTTTTTTGTTTGAAAGGGTATACTCCCGAGATGGTCCCATTTTCATGAAGTCTGGATCTGATGATGGGATCCTAGGGAAACCGAGGGAAACTTTCGAAAATTCTATGGGCGAGTAATGCGTGTATTATGTTTTTCAATTACAATTTTTAAACACTACAATTTTATAAGGGTCTGGAGTCGACCTGATGATGGACCCGACAGACAGTCGAGGGAACTCCTCAGCGGTTTATATTAACAACCTTGTGTTTCGGCTTGATTAATTTGTATTGATGAAGACTTTACACCTAGATAGAGTGGGGCTGTCATTAAGGGTCTGATGATGAAGAAGTGTAATTGTTAAGAGAACTCCTCAACGGTATACAGTAACTACCTTGTGTTTGGGCTTGATTAATTTATATTGATGAGGACTTTACACCTAGATAAAGTGGGGCTGTCATTAAGGGTCTGATGATGGAGAAGTGTAATTGTTAAGGGAACTCCTCAGCGGTATACTGTAACTACCTTGTGTTTGGGCTTGTATAATTTGTTTTGATTAGAACTTTGCACCTATGTAGATTATAAGTAACAAAACGGGTACATGGACCTTTACACTGCAAATGATAAAATAATAAAATAAAAACTGCGTTTAAAAAACCGACTTCAAAAAACCAAAAACTAATAGCAAACAAAAAGTCAAAACTAAAAAGCAAAAAATAACTATTATTAGTATTGATAGGTTACCCACCCACTGATAGGTTAGAAGTCGGTGCCATAAGCTCATATCATAATGATATACTTAACTTAATGTCCACAAAATTGTGGATTAGGTACCTATTAAGGTTTTAATGAATAATTTTGTATGGAACTTATGGCACCGACTTCTTACCTATCAGTGGGTGGGTAACCTATCAGTACTAATAATGGTTATTTTTTGCTTTTTATATCCTTTTGTGACGCGAGCAAAGCCGCGGGTAAAAGCTAGTTTCTGTTAAGTTTGAAATCGCCCGCATTGAGCAAGCGTGGTGAATGCTCAAACCTTCTCCGCGTGAGAAGCTTTACTCAGCATTGCGTACTTATAAGCTGTTCATAACCATTTTGTAAACAAATCATGACATTTTCCGTCCTTTACTAACATGTATACATCTCTTTCGCACACCATATGTCGAGACGCGTGTTAGACACGTGACCCCTTCAAAGATTAGCGACGGACTCATGCGTTTGATCCAGAAATTATGATGATTTTCATAAAGATTGCAATTAATTTGTTCTGTCTGTTTGCCAGCTGTTGTCTCTTTGCTTGACGGGGATTACAAGTGATGGGGTATGATTTGATTAGAGTTTTTTTGGGGTGTGGTACGGAGGTGTTAAGACAATGGAGATTTGATCTTTGAATTATATAAATACATACATGAATAGAATATACATGTAAATAATTGTTTTGGAATATTTTGAGATTGTTTTCGCTCTGCTGCCTCGTTGGCCAAGTGGTCGCAAGTGCGACTGCCGGGAAAGGGGTCTCGGGTTCGATTCCCGGGTCGGGCAAAGTATTACTGGGTTTTTAAAAATCTCAGTAGTAGCACGGAGTCTGGTATTGTGCCCGGTATATGGCAATAGGGTCACCCCCTGTTACATGGCACTCATAACATAAATAGTGAAAAGTGGGTGTTACATTGTAAGTACAGTGTCATAATGTGCACTTCTGCATACCCCTTCGGGGA